ACTAGTCATTCAATCTAAAATAACTTCAGTGCCATTAATGGAGCTCATTACATAGATATATGTGACTGAGAACAGAATTTATTGACCTTAGTCTTAAAAAATGAGTTGAACCTCTCATGACAGCAGGCCCTTCCTTCCAATGTTTGGTACTTCTGGCTCCAGATTGGCTAGAAACAGACCACAGACTTTCTGTGATTTTCACTACTGAGTACATTTAGTCAAGCCACAAGCAGACAGTACAGAAATGTGTGAAAATGAAAACCCTAAAAAATCCCAGAAATTTTCCCCAAAACCTCAGACCTCTTTGGGTAGGAGCTCTGAGTTAAGTTTCAGTGAAAGCTGCAACCAAGATTCTCAAATATAGGTAGTGATTTGGCTGCCTCAGGTTTTTGAGGCATCTTAAATTGACCTTATTTACAGAAATTGCTGAGCACAAGCCCCTGAAGTCCAGTCCTATAGCAGGTGTCCCAAGTTGGACAGTCAAAAAAAATGAGGCATGCAAAATCACTAATTATTTTGAAATTCTTGACTGTACCCCAACTCCCTGCCCCCTTTGCTCCCCACCCCCCCAGCCACTACAGTCCTTTTAATAATAAAGTAATAGCAGTTACGTCCAAAAAATCCTCTTTGCATGGATGGAAAAACCTAAGGCCTTTAGCATGTAGACTTACTTTCTTTTGTAAATGACCTTTGTGCAGACCAACTGTGTGAGATTTGACAATAATTTGCTCAAGTCATAATATTCTTTATATAAATTCTGAAGTTGTGTACATTTAACCATTTTTTTTATATTTACAGAATCAGACCTTGATTACAAAAAATTTTTTAGACTAGTCGCTCCTGTTCACATTTATATTAACACTCAGAACCACAGGGGACTAGATATTTATTGGTGAGAACACAATGGCACAAACTCTTCCCTCAGTCACCCAGGATTGTCACTGCCAGGTGTAAATTCTCATGGCCTGATTCTGTAATCCCACTGGACAACACACACAGGGGAGGATAGGTCCCATAAGGAATCATCTTCAATTTGTCACATATGCCAGGATAAAGTGATACAAAGTCTTTGTGCTCTTTGATTGAAATATTCAAATTTTGGGGGGAGGGTTGTCTAAATTTGGACACCTACATCCATATTTAGGCACCTAGTTCAAAAAAGGCTAAGTTGCTACCATTCTCATTGACATTACTGTGAGCAGGGGTTAGAAATCAGACACTTTAATCCGTGTGCCTAAATATATGATCAGGACCTAATTTTAGGCACATGGGTTTGAAAATATTGACTTGAATATTTGTGCTTATAATCTCCAGAACAGCACATAGTCAGTCTTCACTTACTATAGTTAGGTTTTGGTTTGTTAAATATGATTTCCTGGTGTCTGTTAAATACCACTGTTTCCTGCCATTGCACTGGACAAATGGACATTGCTTGTGTTCAAAACATAAAAGCACGAGTCAAAAATACAGTCCTTACGAGATACCACCAGATATTACCTCCTGAGCAGAGAATGTTTCTAAATTAAGTGATGGGCATTTTGAAAGAGCAGTTGCCCATATCACAAAGATTGGATCCTATGTGTTTTTTCAGACCTCAACTTTTGGTTCCACATCATTAAGATAAAGGGACCTGGGTAACACCTGACTCTGGGCATGAATATAGAAGTAGCTTCTAAACTCCAATAAAGCCTTGAGTATAGGGGTGGTTGGAGCTGAGTTTTTCATCAGTGCCCCAAAATGCTATAATCTAAATAATGTCCCACCATTTTCAAAGGAAAAGATGTGACAGAAACACAAGAATTACAAAGTAGTTTGATTTGCTTCTGATACCTCCCTCCCATCTTCTCTCTTACAGGAGATACAATATTCATTATTCTTAGGAAACAGAAGCTCATCTTCCTGCACTGGTACCACCACATTACGGTGCTGCTTTATTCTTGGTACTCTTACAAGGACATGGTGGCTGGCGGTGGCTGGTTTATGACCATGAACTATGGAGTGCACGCTGTTATGTACTCTTACTACGCCTTGCGGGCTGCTGGCTTCCGAGTCTCACGCAAGTTTGCCATGTTCATCACCTTATCACAGATCACTCAGATGTTGATTGGTTGTGTAGTTAATTACCTGGTCTTCTCCTGGATGCAACAGGGGCAGTGCCACTCCCATGTTCAGAACATCATCTGGTCTTCTCTCATGTACCTCAGCTATTTCGTGTTATTCTGCCATTTCTTCTTTGAGGCCTACATCGGCAAAACCAGAAAAGCAAGGAAGGCTGATTAGTGGTATAAAACAAGACAGAAGCCATAGCTCAGGGTCATCAAGAAAAACAAAAGAAAAACAAACAAAACAAAATGGCACAAGGAAACATGAATGGTGCAGCTAAACCTCGGCAGCTTAGGGACAGCTAGGTTGGTTTAAACCAGTAAGTTTATGATCCTATCACGGTGAGGACTCACTGAATTCTACTCCATCTCTGATGACTGCTGAGGAAAGACATCTTCCTTCTTGTACCTGTCAGCTCTGAAAAAGGAAGGAAAATAACATTTTGCAGGGGAGAAATAAGCCTTGTGCTTCCCCAAAGATGGAAGAAAGACCTTTATAAAAAAATTATTTCTATATCCTTTCTAATCTTTTTTTCTGCATTCAATTTGAACAAAACAAAGCAGAGAGCAGACAAACTATTTGTGTCTATGATACCAGTACAGTTACAAAATTAAAAACTTTATCCTAAAGGGTTGACCTGTTTAGCCCAAATGTGAAAAACGAATGGTTATCTTGAATGTTTGTTATGGAAAGTCATTGAACTAGTGAATGGAGTTGATAAAAGATTGATTTCTCCACTCTGTGATATGCTGTGCATGCAGATTTGGGATGCAACATCTATGCTTTCAGCAGGCAGAGAGGAGCAGTAATTTTTCAAGATTTAAATTTGATGAGATACATATCATATCTCAGAGAGTGCTTTTTCCAAGTGCATTTTCCAATCAAAGTCAAGGAATTTCTGCAGCAGAATAAGGCAGAGGGTTAAATCAATCTCTGTTACATTGCCTGGAGCTAACAACAGAGTAATGGGTGTGGAGGATGAGAACCCCCTAATATTTTTTAACAATTATCTGTGAGTCTCAAATTAATCAGCAGTATTACAGCAGCTGAAGTAAATGAAAGTGGGGAAGAATCAAAAGAAAATTTAGACAGCTAGAGACAGACACTCTATCTACAGAATAGGGCCCTGTGGTACAGCACATATTTTATATTTTTGTGAACTTAAGAAAAAGATATCTGCAACCGTAATAGCATTCGGCAGGACTGTATGTGACATTGGCTAACACTGTGTTTCTGCATTTGCTTCATGAGCAGTGCAAAGAAGTTTAAAGTGCCCTCCTCTGGTCATGTGGAGATACTACAACAAAACTTACTTGGAATAGTTTTTCTTGAGACTTCTATAGAAATATTATTCTAATGAAATCATTTTGCTGCAACAGCTTAACTATAATGTCCAGGGAGAATTATCCTTAATTGAGAACAATCTGCTTTGTAGCATCCTACTGACCACTTAAGAAGACATCCTGTTCTCAAGTCAGCTACAGATAGGAGAAAAGATATTTCACTCTGCACCTGAAAGGCAGTTAGTTGATAAGAGCCATATTCTTTCAAAGAAAAGTAGATTGCGTTATCTGTAATTTTTCAGTCCTTACAAAGCCAAATAAAATATGTACAAGTTCCTAGTATTTAAAAAAAGCAAGTATGTAAACTTGATGTTAAATGTGTTAATGTAGTATTCTAAATTGTAATCAGTTTGGTAGTTGAACTAAACAATTAGAAGAACTAGATGAACAGAATATGTTCTGCATAGAATATACACAACTAGACCCATACACACATTATGTGACTTGTCAACAAGAAGAAAGTCCAGTGGAAGAGAATCACATTTTCTGGCTAATGCAAAAGATTGTCATTATCTTTTTTGCTTTAATTTGAGATTGTACAGTCCCGGGCGCCCCTGCCATGGGGGGGCCACAGCGGCTCCCCGCTTCCTTACCCCATGGGGAGTCTCAGAGGGGGTAGCAGGGTGTGTGTGTAACTTGGAAAAACCCGGTGTGGCGCCTTAGAGGCGAACACCCCCATGGTACCGTGAGTTTTCCCGGGCCAAGCCCGCTTCCTCAGACTCGTGTGTATCCCAGGGCGTGGGTTTGGCCCACGGAAGCTCTTGATCTTGTGAGCGGCTCTGGTTGGTGGTGTGCCGCAGGGCTCAACTAGACTAGCCGGGAGCAGTTGGTTGGTGTGGTTGGCTTTTTTGTTTCTTTTTAAAGCACACAAAGGGTTCATTTCTATCGGTCATCTGGGATCACTGAATGACCTTTGAAACACCTTGTTCGCAAAGCATTATTAAGTGGGGGTCACTTGGATTCCCCTGTGCCAACAGAACCCTGTTGTCATGGGGAAACTTGACTCTTTTGTTTTATTTCCTTCCAGTCTGGCCTGCCTTAAGCACAAGGAGCAAACCCCTGAAGACAAAAAACAGGACTATGTAGCACTTTAAAGACTAACAAGATGGTTTATTAGGTGATGAGCTTTCCTGGGCCAGACCCACTTCCTCAGTCTTTTTTTCTAAGTGTACCAAAAACCTCTAGCTACAGGCGGTTCTGGAGGCTTAGTCCTTGTGGAGTGAAATGCTTGCATCTGATAGCTAACTCTATTAGTGAACAAAGCAAATATTTCATTTCACTGGACCTGGAGGCATTTCCTGAAAGATTTTACTCCTACAACAGGGATGCGTCTCTTACAGCTGGAGCATTTGGTTGCACTGCTGGATTATGACTAAAGTCTTGTTAAAAAGCATAGGCATGTGATTGCCAGCTGCCTGCCTTAGCCTTGTCAAAGGGTTGGCACAGAGTGTGCATGGGAAAAGATGTAACTACAGTATCCTGCACCAGGAGGGTTATTTTAATCTTGCTTTCTCTTTTAGTGGTTGGGATTGTAGGAGATAAGTATCTCAACTGAGACTCTAGAAAGCAACAGCAAAAAGCCTTCCCTACTGAAAAGACACTTTACTTTTTGCAGGTTAGCACAACAGGTCTAGATAACAGGTTTGTAGTTTCCAGTGTGGGACTTGAATTTAGTACCGGGAAACTATTCCTGTTCCAGCAGCTGTTATTTGAAAACCCAGGATCTTTGAAACACTGTAAATAGGATTATATTGGAACACCTGTAAATTTGCATGGTGGCCTAAAAAAGCACACCAGGTCATCTATAAATGGAGGCAGGAAGGGATGCTTTGTTAGGATAATTCAGGAGATTCTTTAGAGGAAAGTGTATTACTGCACAAACGTGCACATCCCAAACTACAGGGATTTGCAGTGGTTGGCTAATGCTGCAGTGTTTTCTGTAGTTGATTTGCAGGCAACAACCTACTGACTTGGCTCAGAAGAGAATTAATCTCTGTCTTTGTTGTTTGGCTGTTGCCTTTCATGTAAATCAGCAGAGCTCTCCTCTGAACTTCTGTCCATTAGCCCTATTAAAAGCTAATGCTGTAGGTTCCATGCACTTGTTCTGTGGACGTTATCAGAGGAGTAGTGTTCTGTCCCATCATGTGATATGTTATGTAACAATGTGTAATCTTGAGTTGTCATTGTAATATATGTCCGTTTCCTTTTTAAAATGGAATGTGAGTTCAGAATTCCCCCCCCCCATTACATAAAGAAATATCAGTGTAAAGACTAACTTTATCAAACCTAAAATCAGTAGAAGTGTCCACCTTCCCCGCCTCCCTTTTTTACCTGCAGTGGGAACATCTGGTGCCCCCCACCCTGTATTTGCAATGCAAATGCTGAAGCACTGGAAATAGGGATGTAAAATTTTCTGTAAATTGTTAATCGGTTAAGCTGTAGGTTTAACCTATGAACCGCCTACCGAGCTGTGGGTGAGTTTGGGGTGTTGGAGCAGGACCCTCCGCCCATGGTGGGGTGGGCCGCCCTGCCGGTCTGGAGCAGCCCCTTAGGCGGGGGGTGGGGGACTGCTCCTGCCCAGCTGAGCACTGGTTATCCCAGTAAGCATGCCTGTAAGGCAGGGATGGCCAACCAGTTAGACATGAAGAGCCAAAAGAGCTGTGGATAGTAGTGCAAAGAGCCACACATCCCTCCCCCAGTTTCCCCCACTCTAACCCAATGCCCTCCTCCAGACCCAGGCATCCACAGGCCCCTCCCATTTCAACCCAATGCCTGGGTCTCACCGGAGCTGCCCCAGCCACGCACGTCTCCCTCCAGGAACTGGGGCACATGCACAAAGCGGGCATGCGGCTCTGAACGAGCCATAACCCTGAAAGCCGCATTTCTGTGAGCAAAGAGCCACATGTGGCTCTTGAGCCACAGGTTGGCCACCCCTGCTGTAAGGCATTGCTTACCGTTAAACATTTACATCCCTACCTGGAAGTGAAATTGACCATGAACAAAGTGAAATTGGTTTTCTTTGTTCAGACTGAGTGAAATGCATACAGTAAGCAAACATAAAAAAGTGCAAATAGGGCTTTAAGGGCTGTTTGTTTAAGCACTCCTTTGATAATGATAATAATTTGAGATTTTCACAGTAGTGCAGAATTATGAGTTTTAGCTTGTGCTTTTTAAAAAAACGTATTTAAACGTAAATGGTTGCAGGAAAGTACGGGATGTGTCAGGCATGGAAGGTTGTCAGACGTTGAGGTGCAAGAAATTAAAGCTTTATAATCATGAGAACTCAAATAATCAACATGTCAAAAATATACAAAGTAAATATTCTTAATTCAAATGCCAGTAAGTTCTCAAGCAGCATTTTTTTTGCCATTCTGTAAATTTCTGTTACAGAAATATAATTTTGTTGATTTGTATATGTATGCATGGTGAAATGGACATTGACCAATTTGACTGATTCAGACTTAGCCTATTTAAAATGCATGACTTCTATGTCCATTTCTAGTAGCAGTTCCCCTTTTTAATATATCTTGAACTGATCATATTCGGCAAGGGTTGCAAGTTACTCAAACATGCTACAAAGTACAGTGTTAAGTGAATGAGTGTAAACACATTTTAACTGTCTGATTCCATTTCCCCTACATCTCCCCAGTCCTCAGTGCCTGCCTGACTGGTGAAGTTTTGTGACAAACTGAACCTGGAAACTTACATGCTTTATTGGCTTGTCGCTTTGTATGACATTTACAAGGCTGGGAAAACAGGAAGATTACTATAAATAAGCCAGTCATCTGCAGGCTTGAACAGAAAAAACAATGGATTTGATTGTTGGTTAACACAAACACCCAAACAAAAAACAACTTTGAAATGAAGTTTTTATAGGTTATACACACTCCTCACCATTAAAGCTAAGTTTTATAGGATTAACAATTCAAAATGCAAACTTTTTATTTAACACTTTCTTTTCCTTAGAGACTATTCAGTTTGAATGGGCACTTGCCATACTGTAGTGATGAAGGGGGAGGAGGCACATAAGAAAACAGCTACTTTTATTAACCCTTATAAACAGTTACTCCAAGTAACTGGTCATATGGGAGGTGTGTGCTTTAATTTCTCTTATGCTTTGAACATGGAATAAGTGAACAGATCTGCCCCATAGATACTTTTGTATTTTTTTTAAAAGTGTAATGTTATAATCTCTTTTCCTTTGGGAGAAAAAGTGCTTCTGAAATTTGACTTAGTACCTTTCAGTGCTGTTAGAGCGAGGCCACTTAAGGGTAAAAGTGAAAAATGAAAACAATGGAAAAGATTTTACGTCTGAGGTGTAGTGTTTTTAAAATTACCCACTATTCTTTCCTTTTTGTTGCTTCAGTTTCAAACAAATAAGTGATTAAGCTGTATTCAAATTAATAAATATAGTTGTATGTACCACTGCATTTGGTCTAAAACTGCAAAACTGGTATTCTTTCTCCTGAGGAAGAAAACTCACTAAGAAAATGCTTGTTTTTGTCACCAACAGACGTTGGTACAGTAAAAGACGTTATTTCACCCACTTTCTTTATCGTTCTTCCGTTAATATGTTTGATAGTGTAAGACTTGTATTAGTGTAATATCTTGATTTCCGTTCTCCGTGCTTAACTTTGTAGCATTCTGCAATAAACTTAAAAATTCCAGGCTAAATCCATTGGATAAAGAGACAATCCTTAACAGAACGTTCTTTTTAATTTCTCTCTCTGGTTGCTGCTTATATATCCTGATTGAGATGACCTGTTCTGTTTGTGCCAGGCTTTGAACATGTTGTTCCTGACAACAGACAAGTTAACTTCTCCACAGCAGACCAGTTGTGTGCCTTTCATTTAATACAGGATGTCTTTTTGTTCTTTGTTTCCTCACGACACATGGAGTTTGAGGGATATTTCAAGATTAGTCAGTTTTTTTTTAACTCTTTGATTAGATGCATATGTCAAATTGTACAAGTCATCCTTGTCACTGTAAACTCAAAGGTTGGTGAAGAAAACTGTCTTTTTTTAAAATTAAGTACTACCAGCTGAAGTTATGGTACTTGAGGATCAGTTTACATGAGTGATTTTTTTTTTTTTTTTTGGTTACTCTGAAGTTAGTAGGAAAGGAGAGGGGGAGGGGATTTTTAAAAAGTTAAGTACAAGATAAACAAAGGCAGACATTCATTCCCAAATGGTGGTTGCTATCTGCTGTCATGTATGTTTGGTTCATTTAAAACCTTACCTTGAGCCTGAGAGAGATTCTAAAACATGATTAGTTGACACTACATTTCTATGGTGTGCTGACATTAATTACAATTGAGCAGCCATGAGGTGTTGGACTTCATTAATGTCACTAGACCAGCCCCTTTAAAAGTTACTTGCATGAGTGCATATTCTGACATCATTTTCCCAGGAGGGGCCTGTGAGGGATGTGGTGTCTTCCAATTATTTTTTTGTATAAATATCGATTACCGGTAATATAAAAAATACCGATGCCTTTATGCAGGCTGTCAGGTTAATAGGTAACATTAAACATCTGAT